TGTGTTTGTTTGTTTGTTTGTTTGTTTGTTTGTTTGTTTGTTTGTTTGTTTGTTTGTTTGTTTGTTTGTTTGTTTGTTTGTTTGTTTGTTTGTTTGTTTGTTTGTTTGTTTGTTTGTTTGTTTGTTTGTTTGTTTGTTTGTTTGTTTGTTTGTTTGTTTGTTTGTTTGTTTGTTTGTTTGTTTGTTTGTTGGTCATTCTATGTTTGCGGAAAAACAAAAAAATGTCAAAACGAACATTTTTAATCTGTAGTTTGATTGTTAAATGTTTAAGAGTGGCGGCAAACATATTTAAAAATAAGCGCGAAACAGTTTTCATGTCTATACCTTTTTGTTTTTTAAAAGTGAAAAACCCAACTAGCCAACAAAACTAAACTAACCAATAATATAAAATATGGAATCCCAGCCCTGGGAAAACCCATGTTGGCAGAGCAAACCGGAAACAGGTAGAGCTATTACATTGCCCATCATGGCACCTGATTGGTTGGTTGGTTGGTTGATTGATTGGTTGATTGACTGATTGGTTGGTGACCACCATCATCATATACTCATTCTCATTAAACAAACAAACAGACCCATCATCACCAACACTCCAGTCATCATCATTACCACCACCAGCACCACCATCATCATCAACATACTGACCGGCGTAGGTCAGTCCGCATAGGGTTGATCTTTCCAATGGGGGTGACCACTGGCCCCACATAGCGTGCATGGCTGGATACAGAGTGCCCTGTTTATTAATATTATTAATGTTGTTTTTGTTGTTGTGTTGCTGGTGGTAGTGGTGTTGTTGTTGCTGCTGTTGTTGTTGTTGTTGTGTTGTTGGTGTGGTGGTGGTGTTGTTGTTGTTGTTGTTGTGTTGTTGGTGTGGTGGTGGTGGTGTTGTTGTTGTTGTTGTTATTGTTGTTGTTGTTGTTCAACTTTGCTACAATATCAAAGAACTCTGATACGATCGAAGTTTGCAATCATCTTATTGTTACTTTTTCTCATTACAAAAACTTTATCATTGTGGCTTCAAATATTCATGAAGTTAAACATCGCCGTCGTCGTCATCATACTCATCATCATCGTCGTCATCATCATCAGCAGCAGCATCTTTAGCATCCTCATCAGCAACAACATCATCATCACAAACACCATTCACTGACGTCATCATCAGAGCCATCTACACGTCATTATCACTCTGTCAAGCTCAATCCGGACGACCAGGCTAAATATAGGAATGACATAAAGAGAACAGGTGATGATGATGGTGACGACGACGATGATGATAAACAAGTGTATATACAAAAATATACAAAAACATACAAAGACATAAAAACAAATACGAACAAATACAAAAACATACAAAGACATAAAAACAAATACGAACAGATACAAAAACATACAAACGTATACAAAAAATACATACAGGGGTGTGCATAAATAGAAGAGAGAGAGAGAGAGAAAGGGAAAGAAAGAGAGAGAGAAAGAGAGAGAGTGAGAGAGAGATGATTGGTGGGTTGCTGAGATCCGTTGTATCTGTTTCTTGCATTATTATTTGTATTACTACTACCATTATCACGGTTGTTATTAGTATTATTTTTTTATTTTTATTCTCATTTTTCTGCTGCCTCTTAATGACCCAACGACCAGCCAAATTGCCGGTAACCAATCTAATCCAATAGAACCCTAAGGCCCCTGGCTATTCAAACATCCATTCTCTCTTTATCTCTTTATTTTTTTCTCTCTCTCTTTCACTATCTCTCTCTCACTCTTTCTTTCTTTCTGTTTTTCTTTTTCTTATTCCGTCATTTATTCGTTTTCTCTCTCTTTCTCTTTCCATTTGTTTGTTGTCAGTAGGTTTCTCTGTCTGTCTGTCTTTCTGTCTGTATTTATATTGGTCTCTTTATATGTTTTTCCACCTAGAGCCATGTGAAACAGAAACTGATAAGTTGATATGACGTGATGGGGTGTATGTTGGTGATGTCATTTTTTGGTAATAGGATCATCATCATGACGATTCTGTACATGATGACGTCATTATTATTTTTACCATGACGTCATCAAGTAGATGAATGATTGAAGTCTCCACAACAATGTTCATTAACGCCTTGTCAAACTGCGTTAAATGGGCGATGGTGTTTGATTACATGTGTGTAGCTTGTGTAACTTGTGTGTATGTTTTTTGCGTGTGTTTTTGTACGTGTATATGTGTATGCATGTGTGTCAGTCTCTTTGTGTACGTGTTTGTCGTTGTGTTATCTGTGAATATTTATTTCATCGTATTAAAAATCAGTTTCAAAGTTTAAGATACAATATAACAACACATAAACAACCGATTTAGACATTTCTGATACTGCAATCAAACCCGGCTAACGCGCATTAGCATCAACGAAGTCGCGGCGATTCTACCATCTGAGCTATCCCAACAAGTGCCTGTGTATTTGCATAAATGGGTTTTATTAAATACCAACAAGAAGCATATATAACCATGGGTATTTTGAGCAATTTGAAACTGAATCTGGGGAGATAATTGACAAGGCAAGATGACTGGACAGGTTTCGGTAATATTTTTGTGTTCATTTGCTTTTATGTTTCGTAGTTTTGTTTTATTTTATCCACTCATTCATTCATTCATTTGTTCGTTCGTTCGTTCGTTCGTTCGTTCATTCATTCATTCGTTCGTTCGTTCGTTCGTTCGTTCATTCATTCATTCATACATCATTCACTCATTCATTCGTTCGTTCACTCATTCATGCATTCATTCATATATCATTCACTCATTCATTCAACACATTAAAACGCCTCAGAAATAAATCATCCATCCAGCTACATCCATCCATCAAAAACCCACACCACACTCGTCACATCCATCCCTCAAGCCAGATTTAAATTTTTTACAATTCGCCAACATCATTTCTCATGTTTATTTCAAATGGCTGAAGAAGGTTTATTTATTATTTAATAGTCATTTCTTTTCTATTTTCAAAAAGCCATTCATTCATCCATCTTTTTTTTATTCATTCCATCGTTCTTTTATTCGTTTATTGATCTTTCCGTCTGTTTTTCTGGCGTTTCATCCATCATATGATTTGTCTCCCATCTATGGAATAATTTATTTATTTATCCATTCATTCAATCATCCATTGACCTATTTTTCTACTATTAATGTAATCTTCATTCATTCATTTTTTATTCCCTCATTCATTTATTTTTTTATTCATTCATTCATCATTCTTTTATTCATTCATTCATTTTTTATTGACCTATTCATTCATTTTTTTTATTCATTCATTCAATCATTCATTCATTCAACCAGCCATTAAGGTAAGCTACGTGAATAGCTTACATTCCTTACATATAAACCAGAAATTTCAATTATTTTTTATATACAAACCAGGGGTGGACAAACTTTTTTGCTGTGAGGGCCGCATTGAAAACTGTTTGACCTTTGAAGGGCCGCATTTAGAACTAAACAATTCCGTCACTTATTCAATCCTTCATCCAATCATTCTTCATTTCATTCATTCATTTATTCACTCATTCATTCATTCCTTCAACTGACCGTATATTGTTCTTTAAAATGAAAAAATCTTTCCAGGTTTTATAGGATGACCACTAGAATTAATCAATCAAACGCATTCATTATCACTTGTCTGTCAATAACTTGACTGATCGATTGGCCGATTAAAAAAAATATTTTTATTAAATTTATCAATCAGCTACTCAATAAATAAGAATTGATTGTCTATTCATTCATTCATTCATTTTTTAAATTCACTTGGGTATTTCTTTGTTCATTCATTCGTTTGTTTTTTTTTATTCGTCCATAATTTATTCAGCCATCCAGATAACCAACCAATCAATCAGCCATAAGCCAATCAATCAGCCAACCAACCAACCAATCAGCTATCTATCCAACCAACTAATTAACAAATCAGTCATTCGGTCATCCAACCAACCAACCAACTCATACTCACCTAAGGCCATTAATTAATTTCTATTTTGCTGAAAAAAACTTTAAAATTTTTATTTTTAATAATTATTGGCTCTAGGTAATGTTCTTTTTGTCACCGAGATATCATACTTAAAAATTAAGCTTAAAGATTGTGTTGTTATCATTGTCATGATCCACATGGTCATCGTTATTGTCCCTGGCCTAGAACCTGGGGAGAGTAGGTTGCGCCACGCACCGTTGTGGACGCACCGGAGATCGTGAAATCTCATTTCTGTCCTGTGTCCCCTCCGAATCACGTGCCCATGGCTGTTCTTCCGCCGACGCAAGGACGCAGTAGAGGACTGCACCCACCACGCACACCACCGCTGTTATCAAAAAGACAATACGCCAGGATTCCCTGGATTGCTGTGTAGAGGGATGGTTTTTTGTGTATTCGTTTGTTTTTTCGTTCGAATAGTTGTTTATTTGTTTGACTATGTGTTTGTTTGTTTTGTGTGTAAATACGTGAAGGCCTGTTTGTGTGTTTATTGAAATAAAAAAGTTTTTCTTCGTTTAATTTGATGAATTAAACATAAAAATATAAGAAAATTAGGCAAAAAAATAATTTAAATGAAATGTCAGGAAGAAACGACATCAGTAAGAACTCACATCCATCGTGACGTAAGCGTTAAGAGTGGTAGCCAAAAATCCGGAACATGCTGAAAACAAATCAACAAGTTTCATAAGGGTGCTAGCGTATCGAGGGGCTATATCCGTGTGGTTGATCCGGCAACCACAATAGACTAAACTACCGACGGACACAGCGAGAGCCAGGAGTAACACAGCCACCGCTTTCTGCGTGTAGTCCATGAAGGAGAGGCCGATGAGGAGGATGGCTGGTCCGACCAGGCCTGGGTTGATTTTAAAAATGAGTTTTGGTTTTGTTGTAATTTTTGTTGGTGATGGTGTTGTTGCTATTATTATCGTTTTTTGTTTGTTGTTGGTGTGAATGTTATTGTTGTTGTTAACCACATGCAATGAATGTTAAGCGTGAATTAACGATCGTTCGTATGCGTTGCGTGTGTATGCTGACACCTCTGGAAAAAAATAAACAAAAAGAAGAAAAACCAAAAAATTATAATTATAATAATAGGCCACACCCCCAAAAACAAACGAACCAAGAGTTGTAAATATTTTTCTCGTAGCCACCGTGCTGAGCACCGACGACGACTTCAACTTTTCAGCAATCTTTGGCATTATGATCATAGGAAGAAACGAGCTCAGGAATGGCAGAGCTGTCAAAAATCCATTCTGTGGAATTCGAGGGGTGTTAAGTTAATTTTTTATTTATTTATTGTTCATCATAAACGTTGTAGATCAGACTAACTGGCGGATAAATTCAAAATGTAATAAAATAAATACACGAGTGTGTGTATCTATGTGAGTGTGTGAGTAGTAATACAAGTACTAGTTTTTCCAGCAGCACAGCTAAAAAATATACAAAAAAACATTAAAAAAATGCATGAAAAATATACAACAACATTCAAAAATGTACCAATAAATAGAAGAAAAAGTGAAAAATACAAAAATTTACATCAAAATACCACAAAGTAAAAAAAACCACAACAAAATACACAACAGAATACAAAAAGTATACATCAAAATACCAAAAAAATACAAAAATATACATCAAAATATCACAAAGTAATAAAAGTACAACAATGTATACAACAGAATATAAAAAATATACATCAAAACATTAAAAAATATACTAATTGCATACTCACAGAGCTAATATCGAAGAAAAGGAC